ATTTTTTAAATGTACTTTTAGATAAAAAATAGTTTTCTTTGTAAAGAAAAAATCCTGAATTTATGTACCTCACTAAGTTCAATTATTGGTTCCAGTTCAGTTTGGATCCAATTTTTTGTTGTTCAATAAAGTCCAAATTCATCCATTTCAATCCAGCAGAGGCCGATTAAGACCCAAATCCATTTAGCAACAGTAAAGATGGCAGTTTACAAAGGAAACCAGCAGATTGCATCCCAAGAAAGCTATGGGTGATGGTGGGGAGAAACCCTTCGACAGAAGGGTCACATAAACAGCTCTGGGTTGTGGACAGAAAAAGACACGTTGTTACTGTGCAACCTTTGCTCTTTATTAAAGAGAAGACTAAAGCATTAGCAATGACTGATAGTTTGCTTTCACAGCTAATGTGCAGCTCCAATTCCCTTAAAAATAATCTTTGGTTCTTAAATCTTTATATTTACACAGAACTGTGAGATAACTGCATGCTGTATTTTTTATAGGTTATTGGTTTTCTGATTATAATTTGTCCTTTTTTCATACTCTGCCCATAGTTCACTAGTTTCTTTTTATTTTTACACAGTGGTTTATGTAAGGTTACCATCCTCTCCAAAGATGTTGTTAATTTAACTTTTTGAAAATTAAGCTGAAGGTTTTGCGAATATGTTTTTTTTTTCATTTGGAGATAAACTGTGTTTATTTATTCTCTATTTTTAGACCGAGTTGAATTCAACCCCAACTGCAGATTTGTAAAGCGGAGGAATGGAGTCGTCTCTTTGTCTAACGATTCACTGAGATGTAAAAAGGCATTTCTGGACACTTCAGCCTCTTTGGATCTCCATGTGAGAACACTGTGGGAGCCATCTTCCTGAAGTCCTCCAAACGTGTTTATTAATGACTGTTTATCTGTTATATGTGTTGATTATGACTGTTTAGTTCTTGGGGGAGACACTCCTGAATTTTCCTCAGAAAATCTAAAGAGAATAAAGAAAAAAACATGTATACTCTACACACCCAAAAAAAGCCTTTTTAATGATCATTACTAGACAAATTAATCATAATAATCTTAAAATAACGCCACATTTTTAGCAGGTAGCCTCAGAATGTGGGTTAGGGATGTTGAAATAACAGCTGCTCCATCCAAAACCTTCCAAAGAGTTTTTACTGCGTGTTTCTGAACCTTTTTTTTTGGACACTGTTTCATGCTCATAGGTTTGACATCTCTCTGTAATAAATAACACCACGTTTATTCTAATATACTTTGCTGTTATCTTTTTTTTTCTAAAAATGTGTTTAGAAATACTCAACATGCTGGGTTATCCTGAGACTTTGATACACAATCCTGATCAAAAGTAAGTCAACTGATCCAGGTGTCCTCAAAGAAAACAAGCAGAAGTCAGTAGAGCTTCCTTATGGGTTGTGTGTTTCTGTGTTACTTTCTGTATTCTTAAAAAATGCCAGGGCTAAATATAGCTCCAAATACGCTGTTATCTTGTGTTTATGAAAATTAGTCTGTGTTTCTATGAGTCACCAAGCCTTGTTCAGGCTTGTTCAGGCCTGGACAGGCAGATGAAGATTTCAGTTATCTGTCTGCCATCACTAGGAAATGGCATTTGAACATGTCTCCTCTGGTCGAGCGTCATGATCTTGGTGCTGATGTCTGGTCTGAATAATCATTCCATTCACCTGCTTAACTCTGCCCCGTGTTTCACATTACAGTTAATCTCCTGTTCCAGCCTTTATTTAACTAGCCTTTAACCAGTCATCAGTGCCAGATTATTTGAGCCTTTTGTGAGAGTTCTCTTGTGTACCTGAGTGTTCTGAATGCCTGTACCTGACCTGCCCTGCCTTTTCCCCTTCTGATCTGTTTGCCTGACCTGTCTTCAGGCTCCTGTCTAATTTCTGCCCGTCTGTGAACCAAACCTAGAACCGTTTCCCAACTACGTTCTGGATTTCCCTTCGGGACCTCACTGGATCTCTGATCTCCTGGCTGTGATTGCCGAGCATGTTTTAGACATTGGCTTCACCCTATGGATTATCCTTCCTTCCTTTATCTGCTTGTTTCTGATCTCCTGCGTGTCGACAGATGCTTGATGTTTGTCCACATTAAGGTCAAACATCCATTAAAGTGTGTCCAGATGCTTCTGCTGCTCCTGTGTTCAATGGCAGGCTTTGCTATATTTGCAGTGATCAGTGGGTAAAAAGTAGTTTTAGTATATTTTTGAGTGAGAAAGTCCACCTGAAAACATTGTCTGTGCAGTCAGTTCATCCAGATTACCATCCTCCCTCAAATGTTATTTCTCTGTCGGAGCCGCTCAGACCCCTTCTTACTGGCGGTGTGCTGTCACTGGGAAGCGCATCATGCGCCTCAGCTGCTCAGAAGCTCATGAGGCGCTGCAGGACCTTTTGACACGCCTTGATGCTCGCCAACCTTTGACTTTTCATGTAAACCAGCTGCTTCAATCGGGTTAAATGTAAACGTAGCGACGGCGACACTATTAACTCCAGCTCCTTTTCTAATAAACGTTTTCGAGAATGCTATCTGTCTGTCTGACACTGGGTCCTATTGTTTTGTGCCTGACAGCATCAGTTCTGGGTAAAAAAAGAAAAAGCTTCACTGAGTCTTCGGAAAATGTCTTCAGATATTTATTGATTGAATTTTATGAGTGTTGAGAAAATGAAAACATAGGATGTGTTTTCATGTGAGAGACTTCCTGTTTTCACTCATTTCAAACCAAAATCAATCAAATACATCTCATTGTCATCATACAGCAGGGGTCTTCATTGTTTTCCAGGCCAAGGACCCCTAAACTGATGGCGAGATGGAGCGGGGACCCCCTAATTAAATATATTGTATGAAATAGTGTGTTATATTAAACTGGTCCTATAGTCACTCTATTACAGATGGAATAATGTAACGAAAGTAATTTCTCCCTGGGATTA